TTGGGCGCCCCGTGTTTTGTGTTGACACATACCCAGATAGGTGTGTCTTTCGCAAGTGGTACCCCAACAGCCAGGAAACACAAACCCTGGAACCCTCGGGATGGGCGTGGTTCTTTGATGAAGTTTACATATTATCCTAGGGATGATTCGATGTCCATTTTCATACTGACTGAGAGCCCAACAAAAACGGAAAAGGGACCCTCAACAAACCATGGTTTCAAGCATGGTTTCAAAGTGGTGCGAACTGGATTTCGCAACCATCCGCGGCGTTGCAACAAAAACGGAGACAGAGGATTGCCCAGAGCCCCGAGCTGGGCCGAACAAGGGAAGCCTCAGCAGGAGAGACCCACCCACCTCTGGAGCCCTGAGCCCTGCCAGTGGCACGCCCGCTTTGTGGAGCAGTGCCTGGACCAGCCCGGGCCCCGGGGTTTTCTGGGAACTGGTTCGGCTTTGTGTTTTTTTTCCATATGTACACACAAAGGAGTGTGTCCCTTTATGATGGCACCCCTTTTGGGGTGGTTTATCATGGGGGCTGGGGAGGGAGGGGGAGGGAGCCCCAAGTAAGGCCTTATTAATTAAGGGCTTAGAGAGGGAGGGTCTCCTATTTTGAGGCAACCCCAGGTGTTGCTTGGGGTAAAGCTTCGGCTCCCGGTTCCTTAGCCTTTAGCCTTTTAGTGGTCCAGGGTATCAGTTTGGACCGCTCAGCTCTTTTTTGGGTGGGGACCCGCCCCCCAAATGGCAACGGGTTTTCCGGTTTCCCTTTAAGGGCCAAGGAAACGGGTATCCTCAACGGAAGACAGAGCCATCTAAGCCTTTGCACCCGCAGAGCCAGAGCATCCATGAGCTTGGAGCGCGGACCAGCGGTGGCTCGGAGGTTTCACAGGGGAACTCTCGGCCGAGCTTCGACTGTCTGAGCAAACAAAGCGAGACACCCTAGGGGTTGATTCCTCCATGCTTTTCAACCATCCTTCTGTTCAAAAAACCGGTCGCTTTCACTGGGTTTCAAAGGAGGTTTTCTAAGACTCGGATCCCTGGAAAGAATGGACATGGAAGGTAGCCCTACCCTGCATGCGCTACAATTTCGAAGCAACCATGAGCCTTTGAGGCTGGACAGTGGAACGAACGCTTCAGAAACGGGTTTTTTCCGGTGAACATGAGCCAAGCCCATGGTGCAAACAGAAGCAAAACTGCAGCTGGAGCTCTGCTGCAGCTGGAGCTCTGAGAGGGTTCGGGAACCCATATGAGCCATCGACCAAATTTCTGGCAGACCTGTGGTTTTGGAAGGACGTGGGGGCTCACGAAATTTCCCACAAACAGGATAGGACGGGAGCATCCCAACGATATCCAACGCTAAATCGCCTTGAACATTCTTTGCACTGGTTCGACCCTTTGAGTATGAGGGCTTATTGACTCAGTAATTTTATCCGGTTCTCATATTCTGGTTGCCTCTAAAACTCGTGGAAACTCCTTACAAACCTCCCAAGAAGGTCGCCTCGTGGCTTGTATCCTTCAGGTCTCCATGAGTTTCCCTGCGCCCAGGCTCGTGCCCCCGAGCCTGGTGACGTCCATTGTGCAGATGGCAGGGGGCGCAAACCGGCTGGGCAGGTTGGGCGGGTGCGAACTCATGTGAACCCCGGATGAAGTTCAACCTCTGGTTGATTAATAGGGGGTGTCCCCCCTTTAGCGGGGATTCAGACCACTTTTGGAGGGAGCCCCCCTAATACAGTTGGGTGAGAATTGGTGGCTTCGCAATTTGTCCGTTTTTTTTCTTCCTCTTTTTTTCTCCTTTTTTTCCGAGGCTTTCCACGGCAGTGATTGAGCCAAGGGCTGAATTTTTCGCTGAGGCCTTGTTCGCAGACGACGGCATCCCCAGTCAGATCCAAATGGTCGGAGACACCAGGACCGGCCTTTTGCCTCAGTCCGGCCTTTTACCGTTTCGGGGGGGGGGGGTTCTTCTTCTTAAATTCCATTAGTGTTGAGCCCAGATTCATAGACGCCTGGTTGATTTTTTTGGGGGTCCCTTTTTAGTGGCGGGTTTGTCACTTTTAGAGGGACCCCCGTCAAAAGGACGGGGCTATCTTACGGGTGATTTTGCGGATGGGACAATTTGAAGTGAGTTTCTTGGGGCACAAGAGGATGGAGCTCTCCTCGGGTGAGCTAAATGTTGAGAGTTGTCTACCAGTCTACCAGACTGAGCTTCCTGCTTGCAATAAACCAAACCCCTGCCGCAGAACCAGGGTTGCATATGTCCAGGGTAACTGCTTTGGATGATTGTGTGATTTGGATGGGAACTTGGCATGCGTTAGAACAAATCATGGGCCACATAGACGTCTGCGTGTGGCAGCAACCTCATTTGAGGGTGCAGCCATTTGCGTGCTGCGCGCATATCGTTTCCCCGGACCTGGGGAAGCTCAGAATTGGACTGACACGACGGTGAATCCAAAGGCATAGCTGTTGACCCCATTCTGGGATTGAAATTTGCCTGGTTTGCCCACCTGGATCGCCTGTTGCCGCCTTTTTTCTTTTTCTCCAGTGGCGTGTGTGTGTGTGTGTGTGTGTGTGTGTGTGTGTGTGTGTGTGTGTGTGTGTGTGTGTGTGTGTGTGTGTGTGTGTGTGTGTGTGTGTGTGTTTGTGTTTGTGTTTGTGTTTGTGTTTGTGTTTGTGTTTGTGTGTGTGTGTGTGTGCGTGTGTGTGTTTTTCTTTTTCCCGGGTACGGTGTTTGGAAGAAAGTCACTTGTCGCCTTGGGGGGATGTTCGACTCTTGCGCCCTTGCAGGTGTTTTGGGGTTTTGGGCTGGGAACTGGCGGTGCTGGAAAACACCAAGCTCTAACACAAGATCCGATCTGATTCAGGAAAGCCCGACCGTTTTCTTCAGATGGTGTTTTGTGGGACAAACACCATTTGACCAACCTAATTCAGGAAACCCTCAATTGGTGGTTTGAATTGGTGGGTTTTGACCTTACCCAAATTTGAGGAAGCTACCCCAGGTCCAAGCAGGGCTCCAAACCACCAATCAGAGGGCAGCTGCATGTGTCCACTCCATCTCCGGGCTTAAGAAATTGCGAGCCACAGCAGCCAACTGGTTGGGGCAAACAAGTCGCTCTGAATTCTGCTGGACCGCAAGGCTTTGTGGCTCTGAGGTGGTTGGGTCTTTGGACTTTGGTTTGACTTTTTGGTTGAATCCGGTCGGATTTTCCGTATTCGACCCAGAAAAAGTGAAGAGCCTTTTGCGGAGGCAGGGGTCGTTGCAGGAAAGAATAAAAACACCGCGATTTTTGTCTTTCCAAGACATCGCCTGGGTTTCCACCCGAGTGCTCCCATGGCTCCTGACAGAGGAAGGGTCCCATTGCAGGTGACTTGGGTTCTTGGCATAGGTGTCATTTTTTTGGGGTGAGTTTGTATAGAAATAGATGGGCTCCGCGGGCTTAGACGGGCTTTTCATCCATTTGCCAGGGGAACCCTTGACTGCTATTGGGTTGGATCTTTAGACTGTAACTTTTTGGTTGAACTCAAGTCGTTTTCCGGACTACCCCCCCCCCAAAAAAAAAGGTGAGAAGCACTTTTTGCAGGGGGGTCAACAGCAACCAAGAACCCATCGTTTTCTTTTTCTTTTCTTTTTTCAGAACCAAAAAGGACTCCTATGACCTTTGGAGTTGAGCCAGGAGCTTCTTGGTGAAGCTCATCGAGCGATGCCCGAGCAGACAGCGAGACACATGGCAGGCGCGGCAGAAAAAGAAAAGACGACCCGGAACGGCCCTGGATGTTTCCCCAGCCATCCAAACCACCCAGGGGAGGGGGGGGGGAGTGGGGAGTGGGGAGGGCTACCTGACTTTTCTGGGTGAATTATAACGACCTCACAGGACCGGTGGTTTATGTGGGGAATAGCCCTCCAAGGTAAAAGATTATAATTCACCCGGATAGTTCAATGGAAGGAACCCAAAAAACCCACCCACTTGTAGAGAATCTCCTCTTGTGGGAAGCAGTCTTTCCGCACCACGTGCTTTGTGCATTGAAGCTCAGCCGTTCTGATGCGTGGCAACGTGTGATGGTCAACCGCCCCTTGAGGTTCCGTGACTACGGCCCACATAACGAGTCGCGGCCATGGCACATGGTTTCAACCAAATTTGAACGAAAGCGTTCATTTCCTCTTAAAACCAACCAAAGAGGGTTTGTCTAAAAAGACACCCAAATGGCGTGTCCCATTTTAGAGGGGATTCTCTTCAATTTGTTTGGGGACGTGTTCCGCCAGGTTTTAACCTGCCAGCTTCTACTGATATTTCCACGGTCAACACACACAGTTGACCTGAGATGACCTTTTGGTTTTGCCAGATTTGATCCATTTAGTGCCCCAAAAGGTGAACTTGAAAGGGGGCAACTCAGTTTGGCATCATCTTCGAGTTGTCCAAACCGAACAGTCCACACTTTGGAAGACTATGTTCCTTTGAGGGTCTGGTGGGTTCCACGTCAGTGGACAGGAGGGACTTGTACGAAGTAGGGTTTTGTGATGCACCAGAGGCACCATTGTCCGCAAAAGGCAGTCCGCGGATGTTTTTGCACGCTCAACCACATGGCTTTTTCCCCAAAATAGTAGAAAACCTTTTGGTTTTCCTGTAACCAATAAGTGGTATCCTCAAAGAAACAACATACCCATTTGTGTCCATTGCGCATTGCTGCATTGCGATTCCATTGGTGTGGCCACAACAATGTTGCAACTCGGCTGGGAACAGATGGGATTGCACACCGAAGCGGTTTTGGCAAGTTTGTTGCGCGCGAGGGACCGACTGTCGCCGTCGGCCGTTGGGCAAAACATCGTTTTACCTAAGCAGTCCCTGGCTCGAAAGGACACACCCCCCAGAGGTTTCAAGCGTGCTTCAACCCCATGGTTTAACGGAGCCCAGGGATTCCATCTTAGGAAAGCAGGGGATTACCCTTAAAAAACCTAAGAGGGGTTGTAGATCTGGTTATCTACTGCCCGTGTCGCCCGGGAGGTGCTTTGTACCATGCTCATGTCGGGCGACGTGGACTCGGGCTTCGCTTGGCTGCAGGGCCCATAGTTACGTGATGAGAGTTTTTATGCCAAGCTTGTTGGGCGTATTTTGTTTTTTCTTTCTTTTTTCTTTTTTTTTTTTGGGGGGGGGGCGGGGGAGAACCCTCTTGCTGGTCGCTTTTACAGGAGAACCAAAAGGAAACCGAACATTTGTCGGGTCCCTGGGTTCATTCCTTCCAGGGATCTAGGTTTTACATTCGTGAAAAGCAAAGCCGAGCACGAGAAATGGGACCTTTCTCAAAATCAGCACCCCACATATCCAATGTGGAAGGGCGGCCTGGTGCGGAAGCCGGGGGGCTTCTTCCCAGTTCCCGAGCGGAAAGGAAGCGTCGGATGTGTGAAATGTGTCCTCAATTTTGGACGTGCGCAGAGTGTGCGAAGCAAATCCCAAATGAAACACGCCCTGAGAGGTAACCAGGGGAAATCATCGTGTAAAGCCTTGATACTCAAGCCCGTGTACCTCCTGGGCAATATACTGGTTCAGGAGGGGCATGCCTAGTTGGATCCACGATCCCAAGGCGTGTCTTTTTCACCCCGAATTCCGTTGGAAGGACGGTCCGGTCTGGAATGTCGACCCCAGATCAGAGCCCTGGTTGATTTTGAGAGATGGGGGGGTCCCCGTTAAATGTGAAGGTTTGGACAACTTTGGGAGGGAAGACCATGGGAATAAGACGGCTTTATGAATCCGGGTCAGCATTAGTCTCCTGGGATCTCGAGATGTTGCTTCTGAAGGGGGTGGTCACGTCAGCCGGAGGGAAACGGTTTCCCTTCAACCCATTACATCTCGCGGACTTTGGCAAAATGGGGCCAGCCCCAAGTTGGGGGTGTCTCTTCTTTTGAGCTACCCCTGTTTGGTGGTGAAGGAACACCACAAGGAAAACCGAAAAATAAGATTTCGTTGAGAAATCAACCTCTCGAGACACAGGAGTGCAGCCCTCGTCAGGTCAGAGCTCGTGGATGAAGTGGCCAAGAGCCGGGGGCCCTTTCGGGGGCGTCGGAGCTTCAGAACTTGAGCCTCCAACTGAGCTTAGGGACTTTTAACACAGCAGGGGGTTCGGACATGTTCTGTTGACCTTTGCTTCCATTTGCTTAAGTATGTTGGTGTTTTCCCCTGGTTTTAAAGGGAATCTATCACTACTGGCCATATAATTTCTATCCTTTTTCCAGAGGGCGTATTCGCAACTGGAAGCCGTTGGTTTCTTCAAAGTGTCCCCGCTCTTTACCGCCACGGCTGTTCCTGTTCGATGCCGCAACGCCATTTTGGCGGTGAGAGTCGCCAGGGTTGTTTTCCCCTGGCACCCAGAAGCTTCTTCATTTATTTGCTGAAATGAATTTATTTCCCCCCGTTGGATTTACTGGGTGTCTATCACTAGTGGACATATGTTTTTTTGTCCAGGGCCGCAAAAGCACATGGAGGAAACGACGACACATTGATCCAGGTCTGTGGATGTGGCTGCGGGTGTCGCCCGGAGACACTTTTTTTCACCGGAGCTGTCCCAAACGAGTCTGAACCTGCTAGATTCCAGCTCACACAAGGGCACTTCAGGTGCAAATGGACCACCCTCGCAGTGTGCTAGAGCTTGCTTTGAACTAGTACTTGCCGATGTGTGTCCCAAATTTGCACCGATGTTTGTAACAGATGATGCCCTAAATATATTGCGAGGGGAACAAGCCCAAACAGTTCACCGTGATTTATCATAGTTTTCGGGTTTATCCCAGTAGAATTTTCTCCATCCTAACTGGTGTTTGGCGCGGATTGCGTGAGCTTCCCTTGTGGTCCTATTTGCGACATTGTTTTGCGGATTTGTCCATCCTACAGGAAGTGTACTTGGGTGTTCAGCCAACTTAGTAAGTACTTGGGTGCGTCTCTTTTTTGAGGTACCTCCTTTTAGCGCGTTTCAGATGGACACCAAAACTCACAACCACTTTTTATCTTCTTTTTCTTTTTTTTGGGGGGCCTAAAAGAAGAAACCCATTTATTTATTTTGTGAAGGGGCTGGGGGCGTCTGGGGGGTCCCACGTCGGAGCCCATCCGTACCGGTCCGTGCGGCTCGCTACGGGTTCCGGCACTCCCTCCAGACTCCAGGCCACGCGGAGCGCATCCGGCAGGAGCAGGCCGCCAAGCAGGCCGTTACAACCTGGGGGCGGTTTCTCTCGAAAAATCGGCGTGGGACCCCTCGGCTCTCCATTTTTTTGGGGAGGTTTCTCCAAAAAAGAGTCGGCCTTTGACATCCCTCTCAGGACTTCACGAAATTCTACCATGGTTTCTTAGGAATCGGACCCCCCCCAAAATGGGTGGGTGTTCAAATCGGTTTTCCGTAGCTACGGAGCCATGCAATGGCCTTGCAAAAAAACACGCAGTGATTCCAATCCCATTCTTTTCAGCCATCCGAACTCTTTTCGAACACCGATCGCCATTTCAGGGTTTCGGGTGGTTTGCTAGCTTGCTATGCGCAGACCGCGCTTTTCCTCTGTTCCTTGATTCAAAGGGGCTTCGGTAACCCCATGTTCACAACTTAACGGGGCTAGAAAGAAGGATCCCTGGAAAGAATGGAAATGGAAGGGAAACCCCGAGGGCAATCGGAGTGGGACGCCCTCGACTCTCCACCCCTCTGGGATGGGTATCAAGATCGACCGAACAAGTATAGCTCTAGGTTGGTGTCTATGTTTGGGTTTGCTTTTGGATACCGGCCGACAGCCGGTCTAGAAATCCAGTTGGGTGTGGCTCCTTTTGTTCGAGTTGGTACCCAGTTTTTGTGGTTTCAAAGGGAGACCAAAAAGAACAAACACAATATTGGGGTCCCTGGAAAGCGACGCCACCCTTTGTGGATGGTAAATGGAAACCAAAAGGAACCACCCGGAGGAGTTGGCCCGCCCATTTTTTTTGTTTGAGAAATATGGAGATTTGGGTATGAGGTCATTCCTTCTTCTCACTCCGTAGTTCCCGTTTTTTTAAGCTCTAGACAAAATTTGTCCAGATGATTGGGTTCCATTCTCTCTTTGGTGGCATCACCACTAAATATTGTAAATCCAAAAGCACGGAACCCTTTTGCTGCTGCACGTTAGACCCGCCGACAGCCACAATGTCAGACCAGTTTAATGGATCTAAATTTCAATTCTCGGCTTTCGTTGGGGAAACAGGCCTGTTCTTTTCCACAATGGATTCCTTTCCCAAAGCAGAGCTGCCAATCCCATTCTACCTTTTAAAACATCCGTCCTGAGGAGTATTGCATGATGGTGGCCCCTCCTTTTTTGGACGGTCCACCTTTGTCAAGTATTTATAAACGGACACCAAAAGGCCAACCAAGCATTTGGGGGGGTCCAACCTTCAAGAGGACACAGATCTTGCCCTCACTTGCTGGTGCGATTGGTAGGGAATGTGGTTGTATGAACCCAGGCTTTGGTCCCCTTCAAGGGGTGAGCCATCTCTTAGGGTCCCCACCCAAAATGTGCCACACCCTCTGCAGTGTCTGGAAAGCCCTCTGTGCACTGATTGCGCGACAACTGGTCTCAACTTCCCTAAGGCTCCCGATGCTTTTTTGGGCCCTCAAAATGGGTTGTTTTCAAGGGCCCCTGAGGGGTCCGGGGTCTTCATTGGAGGGTCCGGGGCCCTGCATTGGAGGGGTTATGAGCCTTAGGGTTCCAAAAAGAAGGGCGCAGAACGTTTGCCTTCTGCGACAAGAAGCCGACTTCGCTCGCCTCTCTCAGGCCTTTGGGGCGCAAAAGGTGACCTTCGAAGACGGCCCGGGGGCCCAGAGCTTTGGACGAGACCGAGATCTCCTTCTTCGCGAGTCGGGGGAGAGCTTGTTTTTTGAGTTGGTACCGGTGCTAGGTGTCAAGCACGGAAAATGGCGGCTTCTGGGCGGTTTTTGTGGCTTCTTGGAGGCTCCCAGTGCCCACCATCCGTCTTTGGTTGTGAAACGCAGAAAACATGGCTACAGGTTTGGTGGCTCCCAGATCCCAGGCATCTCCTTAGCTTTTTGAGCTTGGTGGGTGTGTCCTGTTGGTACCCTGTTCTTACAGGTGTATCGAAGCCAAAAGGGAAGCCGAAGCCATTTTAGCGGGTCCAACGGTGAAGCATGGCTTGACGCTTCATGGACCTTAAACTTTTTGGGAAGACCATCTCAGTGGCAAACAGAAAAGTTTGGGGACTTTTTCTGCGCGATCAACTCAGGAAGTAAGTGAAACCAACAATGATCGTCCATTTGCTGAATTTGAATACATTCTGTTGGAGTTATGCTTTTCCCCAGTGGCTTTTCAACAAAGCTGTCACTACTGGAAATGTGTTCTTTCATTTTTTCCGGGGGCCGGACTTCAGCAAACGGAAGAGATGTGTCTTTTCTCGAGAGTGTACCCAACTTGTTGCGGTTTTGCGGGAAACTAGACAAGAAGCCGAAGCCTTGGAGTCCCTTTCCCTCGAGCATTTCCTCCATGGATTCGGGGGAGGGGGATTCTCGTGTGCTCGGATTCAGCTTTCCTTTCAAAGGTGCTGCCAGTATTTTTCCCCAGAAGTTGACTGGAATCTGTGCCTACTTTGGCTCGCCTTGAAAAGTTCCTTTGTCAGGGAGGGGGATTACTCTTGTGTGATTGCTTTGTAGTTCTTACTCGTTTTATTGTGGGGAAGGGGGGGCGCTTGGGGGTGTGGAAGGATTCGGAGTTGTTCTTGCGTGGCTGTGTTCACTCGGAGGGGATAAGAAGGATCCAGATCGTGTTCTGCTGTGGGTGGGAGTTCCGAATTCACAACTCCTCCACGGGCAAAATCCGCTTCAACCTGAGCGGACCCAGACTTGTTTTGGCTTCCCTCAATGCTTTTGCCCTTGACTTTCCTTCAAGGAATCCCCTAAAACCGGCTCATTCCCAACACCCGGACTGGGTCTTGCCCTAGCTATCGCACCAGCAAGGAAAGGGAAGCACTCAAAAGGCCGCCGCAAACCCAAAGGCGTGTCAGCAGAGGTCCGGTCTCAGCCAAGCTTAGGTCATCCGGAGCGGTCGCTCGGCAGCTACTTCGTCGAGGCACGGAACAGTGTGACATCCCCTCCACTCAGGCATTTGTTTTTTTAGATCCCTTTTCATTGATTCCTATTGGGTAACAGATCTTTGGACTCTAACCGTTTGGTTGAAATCAAGTTGGTTTTTCGAGTTGAAGCCACAAAGAGTTAAACACTTTTTACAGAGGGGTCACCAGCGACAACGTCTGGAAGGGCCATTTGGGCGGCTCGTCTTTTTTGAGGGGACCGGAACCCTCTAAGATGGCGCAACGGTTTTTCTTTTTTTCTTTTTTCTTGAAACCCGCCAAAAAGGGGGCCCTCAAAAAAACACCCATTTGAGGATATTTTTTAGGTGGTTCCTTCCTACCTGGTTTAGAAGCCCTGTACAACCTGAAAGAAACACATGTTAGTGGAACCCAAACGTCAATGGGTTCTGGGCGCTGCTCGCTTGACCATTCCCCTTCGATTTGCCTGGACATTTCTAGCCAGTGAAAGTCCATCCCGTAATTGACAGGTTTTGGAAGTCTTGTAATTCCTGTGTTGCGCTTCCATTTGCCTGGGGCAATCAATTGGTGGTTTGGGGATTTGAAGCCCAGGGTAAATGGGAAACCCCTCCTACCAATCCAAACCACTAAGAGGGAAGCCGAGGAGTAGCAGACCCTGCGGGGGTTGGATGCCCAGTTTCGATCAACCATTTGTCTAGGAGCAATGGAGCGACTTCAAACGGCTCGGGACTTGAAGTCCCGAGCTGGATATGGTTTGGGCCAAGTGGTAGGAGTCTTGGCAAGCCATAGGCTTGCACCTGGTTTTACATGGGGGTGAACCGCCCCGGTTGCAAGCCTAGTGTGGCTTGCAACTGAAATCACTGGTACACAGCAAGTGGCTGCAAGCCTGTAGCTTGCAACTGGAAAATCTGGGGTAAACAAACAGTTCCCATGGCATCATGGGCAAGCTCTAGTAACCAGCCACCATCCCATTCGTTTTGAAAGGGTGGCAAGTCTTTGGCGTCCCAAGCGGATTTCCGGGGTCATTGGGGAGCTGCAGGTTCAGGCCTTTGATGCGCGGCTGAGAGCTCGGGCCCCAGGTGGGCCGTGAACAGGGAACCTACCCTCACTCCCACTAACACCTGACAGTGGCTCCCTATACTCGAGGAAATGATCTTCCGGGTACAGATGCTATGGGGAGGAAACGACACATGTTGAACACCCGCCCATGTTTGGGGGTCCGATTCTCCTAAAAAGAAAGGACATACCCACAGATTGGGGGGGAGAGCCAGCCCATGCCAACTTCAGGGGGCCGACCTGATTGCCTCCCCCGCAAATTGACATTTTGTCCTCTTTCCCAGAAAGATAGGAGTTCACCCCAGTTGCCCAGTGGATTCCGCCCCGTTTTTTCAACTTTGTTTCGGGTTTCCCCTTTGAACTCAACAAACACAAAAAGGAGGCCCAATTTTTGGCTTCGGTTGGGATGTGGGCTCCACTCACTCCAATGGGGGGTGGGGTCTTGAGTAATGTGGCGGAAACAACCAACATTTTTCTTAGGGAAATCCTGGTGAGGTGTCAACTGGGATGAAGCGAATCTCCGGTGGAACTGCGATCCGTGATTGGCACGGTGGTTCGTGTCACGGACCTTTCGGAACACGCAGGCGGTTTCTTGACTGCTATTGGGTTGGATCATTAGACTTTAACTTTTTGGGAAATAAAGGTGTTTTCCACTAAACTCCCAAAAAGTTAAACTTTTTGCAGGGGGGTCAACAGCAACCAAGGTTTCTGGGTTTCTTGGATCTCCTGGCACGGATCTCAGAGTCGGTTCTGAATGTGGAATCCTCTTCCTTTCTTCTTGGGGACCTCCAAGCCCCCGGCTCCTCCAATTGGAGGGGACCAACCTTTCGGGGGGGGGGGTCACCCCGAGAAGTGAAGGAACCCCCACTAGCATGGGACAGCGGTCCCTGGAATCAACCAAGGTTTGATTTGGGGATACCCTCTTTCACCAATTCACATGGAACCTGACGTTCGGGGCTCCCTTCAAAGGAAGACAAATTGGCTTCCAGGAGCCGGAAACGTGGAGGGTGACGTCCTGAATTCCGAGGCCTCCAACCAAAGCGGGGCCAACCCCTTTGTGAGCCTGGTGATCACCAACAAGGCTCATTGGTGCGTGGCGCGTGAATCAAGTAACAGGGTCGAAGCGGGCTCGCCTTTTTGGAGGGTTCAAGGGTTATCAAGGGCTGCCAAGGGGTGCCACCAAGGGCGGCTACCAAGGGCCACCTGCTTCCGTTTTTTTGTTTTTTCCGGGTGTTCCAGCCCGCAAAACGAGCAAGTCACACCCTCTGACCTGGGCACCCATCGCTGCCATGGCAGCGGATCGCCTGGCCGGGAAGCGTTTCGGGCTTTGCCTTTTTGGGGCTTGCCCATCTCCGTGCAGTTCAATGGGCTTTGTCGCAGAATCGTTCGGCCTCTGTCTTTTTCAAGGGAACAACAATGGAACACCAACCAGGACATGGGGGCACCCGAAATTTTTGGGGAGCTTAGCATCTGCTTTTCCTTGTGAGCTGAAGGTCCCAAGAAACGTAGCTTGGATGTGAAGGTCTTTTGGGCAGGGAAGGCCCATGGCGGATGTCCAGGTGAAACCTCTTGTTTGTTCAGCTTCCGAAGTGCACCAGGTTTGGTTGCCAGGTGCCGTCTTCTCATCTTTCAGGGCCAAACAGATTTTCAGCTTTCCTGGTCAGTTTTGACCCTGGACCCCAATGACTATGAATCACCAGGACGGCAAACGCATACCGTGCTCTGGTCTTGAATCAGTAATTAAAGGCCGATGAGCATTTTTTCCCCCAACAGCTGAAAGCTATGCGGTCTCTGCTTCTTCCGCGACGGTTCAGGAAGGTTTCAGGAGGTTCTCGGAAGGCTGTTGGGGATACCACCTGGGCTTTTTTTGCTTTTCGCCGATTGGCCACGGAGACCAGACCACAGAGTTTTCGCAGTGGGCCTAGCGACATATGCGATGGGGGGGGTCGCAGAAGAAAAGCGGCACCCTGGACTCCCATTATTGGGTCAGAGTGGTCGGCTCCAACCACAGATCGGAGTCGGATGTCTTCGTGCCCGGTGCGGTTTCTGGTCCTTTCGCCGAGTGGGGTTTCGTCATTTTTGAGGAAAGGACCCCCAACAATGGTGAGCAGGAATGCTCCTCTTGGTTTTCCTTCTAAATCCAACAAAAGGCGCATCAAGGCAAAAGAGGACACTCAGCAACCCCCTTCAAGGAAATGCAGGGGGCAGGTCGAGGCCGGTCCCCTCCGTGACACACGACATGTTTCATCCTCTTGGGGAAACAAGTAATTTTGACCGTGGACCCCAATGACTATGAATCATAAGAAGGACTGCAAACGCTTTCCTTGCTCTGGTCCTGAATCAGAAATCAAAGGTCGATGAGCATGGTTTTTGGACGTTTTGCATTTTCGGTGGCACCGCGCAAATGGCTTCAATAGGGGTTGTGTTTGCCCTTTACTTACGGTTTACCCACGGTCCTTTGGACAGAGGCTGACTCCTGCTAGCTGTGTCTGACTTTTGCTTTTTGACCTTTCCTATTTGACCAGCTTTTCGTTGGTCCGTTGACCGGCCTGTCCCCTCGTCCACGTAAGAAAAAAAGGGACATTCTGGACATTCTTTGGGTGGTTTGGAAGTCCCATTTTGTCACCCTTTTGCATGAACGCTGAAAGCTTTGGGCCGAAATCCAGCACCACCTAAGAAACCCTGGTTTCTGATGATTCTCTTGTAAATGCCAACAACCGTTTCGGTTTTTTCATAGTTTCAAAGTGGTGCGAGCTGGATTTCGCCACCCATCCGCTGGTAATTTCCCCTTCCGGCCAGCAGGGCTTCCTTTCCCTTCCCCGTGAGGCGCTTCGCCTGGTGGACACCACGGTTCCAGGATATCCCACGGAGGCAACTGGACAAATTCAGGACGGAAGGTCACACGCACTTGCTGCAGCGCCTGCTAACCGACCTGAAGTCTAACGGATCTTTGGACTGATGAACTGTCTGGTTCAAACAGCTCGGATCAAGAATCAGGCACTTTTTTTGTGGATATTTTAAAGAGTTCAAAGGAGAACCGAAGGAACACGGGCTACGAGAAGTCTCCTGACTAGGACTGCAGTTGGGATCTCACGGACCTCGTGCGCATCACCCGGGGTTTCTTGGCTCAGGCCGATCCGAGAGAGCTTTCGGTCTGAGTCGAGAGCGGTCCCACCTGAGCAGCGCAAGAGAGCCCTGTAGTCCAAACATAGTTGGTGGTTCTATGCGGCTATATTCACGGAACCCTGTTGGTTGCACGTTTTAATTCCGGGTCGTTCCCTTGTTGCAATGCCAAACCGTTCGTTACCCACTTCAGTTGGAGAATTTACAGTGTGGAATGCTGGGAAAAGGATATCTGCTGACTTCCTCGACTTTAGTGTCACTTTTTTGGGTTGGACCATTTCACAGTGGTAAACAAAAACGCTTGGACTTTGTTTGAGCAATCCATTCGGTGATTGGAAGTGTGTGTTGCTTGGGGGATTTCGTATTCAGCCATGCTTATCCCTCAGCAACATCTCTTTGGCCTCAATGGCTGCACAGCTGCAGAGGGAGTTTGGAGGTTTAGAGTTCCAACATGGTCTTCCTGTAAAAGGATTTCAAGGGACACTCCTCATTTCCTTTCTTTGGAAACAACACATGTTTGATTTGACCATGCGGCTGCCGTAAAACGGCTTGTTTACACTCACGATGCAGCCTCACCACTTGAGCGATGACCTTCATTTGTGGTAACTGGGGAGACGGGGTCGTCAATATGCTCCTACCCCCCACAGTACACCTCGAGTTTTGGCCTGTCTTACTTGGGTGTTCGGCCAAGTTAGTAAGTTGTTGGTGAGATATGGCTGTGGGTCAAAACCAATGGTACCATTTTGGGGTAGGTGCACCACCCGTTTTAGTCCATTTTAGTGGGGGTTGGGATGTTCACTGGGGGTGCCATTGGTTTTGACCCATAGCCATATACCGCCCACTTACATATAAGTCCCCTAAACGGGGTTGACCTTGCTATGGGTGAACAACTCCGGTATGGGTTTTGGAGAGTATCAGCTTATAAGGCAGCACATGCCCCTTGTATACGTGGTATATAACCTCCACAGCTCCAAACCCCCATCAGTTGAACAGCAATCCGAGTGAGCAGTCCAGAGCTTCACTTTTGGACAGAAAGGTAATTTCCGGGAGGCTTGAGTTTTGCCACGGGCTGCTTTTGTGGTGCTTCCCAGTTTTTTTTGCCACCCTCTTTTTGACAGAAAGGTAGCCCCTGGCAGGTTGTCCGTGTTTTTTTGAAGTGGTCTTTTCGGGTACCACTCTGCTTAAGTAAACCAAAGCGACGGGCGATGGCCAGAAGACTTTGGCATAACCAGCGCGCGAAACGGGGCTTTCGTCAAAGCCAGACAGCTGCCGGGAATGGATCGTATCGGGTTTCCTGCGCTTAGACTTCGCCCGCGAACCTGAAAACGATGTGTCAAAACATGTTTTTGTTTAGGGAAGCTAGATGGAACCAATACCATTGTTGAGAATATCAATCCGCAGAACCTTGGGGTCCTCCTATTTCCTCTGACTCGTTTTGTTTCCAGCGTACCACCCGCCTTCAGGACCTCTTCCTGAGTATCAGGCGCAAGGGTTCGGTAGAAGAAGGCTGGGCACTGGAAGTTGTCTTCCTGGAACGTCGCAGCGAGTGATGCAAAGGGAAGGCGTGGCTTTGAGTTGCCGCAGGTTTGTTGCTCTTTCTAGGTGAAGTCGGCTGGGCACGACCTGCTGGGAAACGAAGGTTAAAAGGAAAACCACCACAATGGGGGGTCCCTTCTCATTGCACCAAAAGGTCCTTCCCACTTCAGTTCATTCAAGCCGATGCACATAAACAAAGCTTTCATGAATCCGATTTTGGCTGGCTTGAAGTTGGAAACTTCTCAAACAACCCGCAGGTCTGGGACCTTCTCAAGAGTCGTTCAGAAAGGAAGCAACCCAACAGGTCTGGGACCCGAGGGAATACGATCGGATTTCGAATTGGCAAAGTGCAGGATGTGCTTCCCCCATTTTGGGCTTGGATCTTAGGGTAGCCGTCGTTTTGTTTTTTCGCTTCCCCCCACCTTAGAACCTGTTTCGTTGTCTTCAGGGTCTGAAACCAGTAGCTCAGAGGTTTGATCCTCTTTTTTTTCTTCCAAGAATGACATATACGAGCGCTAGGATTTGACCTCTAATTTCAGCTTCTTGTGCCCTGAATTTGAGGCTATGGGCGGTCGAGCTGGGCTCTTACTCTACCACCTTTTGAACCGGCCTCGAACCTTACTGTACATTTCCCTCCCGTGTAAACGTCCTTCAGTTGGGTGCGTGATCTTTTAGGGGACCCCCCCCTCAAATTGGTGGGTTTCCTGGTAGTTTCCTTTAAAAGCACCGAAAAAAGGGGTACCCTCAAAAAACGCCCTCCTTGGCTGAAGAAGATGGTTGAGTTCCCCTATCTTTAAGCAATCTACCACTGGGATGTGTTTCTTTTTGGGGGACCCCTAAAATAGTGAATTCCTTTTGGTTTCCGTTTAAATCCAACCAGAAAGCTCCAAAAAGGGGGTACCAACTGAAAAGAAATGAGCCACCCGCATGTTGTTTGTTCCGGAAAAAGCAAATGAGTCCCTTCCTTTGGGGACTCAAGCAAAGCGGGTTCTACGCGTCCGAAAGGAGCTTGAAGTTACCACCCATTCAGGGGCAACCAAGTCCCATGACAAGGCACGGTCAAGAGCTCACATGGCGGTGGTTCAAAACCAATGGTACCATTTTGGGGTAGGTGCACCACCCGTTTTTGTGTATGTTAGTGGGGATTGGGGTGTTCACTGCACATACGGGGTTTTGAAAAGAGCCTTGGCGTCCAGCTTCAACCATCCCTCCGTGGGAACATATGTTTTCGTCACTTGCTTGGCATCCTGTCTCAGAAGGTCCGCCTTTGGGCGGGGGCCAGCCGCCCGGTTCCGTAGGTGTTTAGTTGCTTTTAGTCGGCTGGCTGTCCATGAAACCGCTAGTTAGGCGCGTTTAGAAGGGGACTAGAGAACGGACAGCCCAGTTTTCAAGTCCTTTGTTAGAAGTCTGAACCGGCACATAGCTGGTAAAACAGCTGCGTTCTTGTAGGTGTTGACCCAAACATGGGTCCCGACACATCTTGTCAAGTGCCTGTCGAACTGAACATGGCTCCCTGCAAGAAACCGCCCATCTTGTGCTGGTCTGATTGCGGCAGCCTTGGCATGTTCGTCCCAACCGCGAGCGTTTTTGTCGGCCTTTATATGATCCCCAAACTATGTGGGCCAGCTTTAGAACATGGTCAAAGTTGCCTCCTTGCCAACACGGTTTCATCTCCGAATGGAGCCTCCAAAAAAGATTCCCTGTTGGTTCCGCTGCTTCCCTTTTCAGCTTGTTATTTTCGGAGGGGTCTCAGTCCCTTATCAACTGCCAAAGAAAGTCTGAGTCTGAACCAAAAAAAAGGGGTCCCGCTTCTCAGAATCGATTCACTGGAGGTGAGCCACACTCAAAACCGGGAAAGGGAAGGTTAGCGAGGGACGATCCCAGCCAGCTGTAGTTCTTGAAGCATGGTTCTGGGTCGACCATTTTTGTACCGGGTTTTGATTATGACTCAACTGGGTATTGACCTCATTTGGCTGTGGCTCAAGAACATGTGCCAAAATGGCACCTTGGTAGATGGAACCAAAGACTAAAACATGCGTAACCCTGGCTCTTTAATTTTGAGCCACAGCCATTTAGGCACACTTTCGGATAAAACCGTGTTATTTTGAACCATTTTGGGTCATTTCCCAAGGGTGTAATCCCAGGGCGTAATACAAAAACCCTCAGAAAAAGGGGGGTGTCGTTTTCAGAATCGATTCACTGGAGATGACCCCGAAATCCCGCAGGCGCTTCCGAAGGCGTCGTCGCCTGCGTGTTCCATCGCGCCAAAGACCGGGACGACGCCATCGGCGCGGGTTGGGATCGATGGCTGGTCGGCGGGTTGGCGAGTTGGCTTGGGGGAAGAGCGTTGGCTTGCTTGGCGTGATAGGTAGCTGGTTTGGAAACCACAGGGGTGCTACAAACATCATAAAAAAAAGCTATCTAAAAAACAGCTATCCAAAAAACCGCTATCTCTGCACTCTGCAACAAACATCATGAAACCAGGGCTGCACTCTGCAAACCTCCATCTTCCTTGGGGTCATTCCCCCAGCTGCTGGTCATCAGCTGACGCGGTTCAACTAGGTCATCAAGTTCGCCCTGGAAGGTGAGCTTGAGGGCTGATCTGAGGAGAAGTCGGGGGAAGTCAGACAGGGAGCCAGCTGTGGTGGTTGTTTGGGGCGGGACACTTGTGAACCTGAGTGAAATAGATAAGACAAGGTATATTCGTCCTTCTTAAGGATGGCCCGGCAAGCCCAAATCCATGCAAACCCGTCGTCAGGACATGTGGGCTGTTTCTTCGGGTTCATAGGGTGCGTCCGTTTTGAGGCTCGCACTCTTTTGGGAGGGTTTAAAAGCGAAATCAACAAGGAACACCATTTTTGGTGTTTTTGGAGGTGTTCCGGGGGTGGTTTTCCATTTGCTCGTGAAATTTCGTTTGGTTGGTCTCCCTATTCTAGACCACACACCCAGCAGGGCTGCTGCGAGCATGTCCGAACGATGATTCCACTACAAGCTGGTAAAAGGCTCTCTTTGATCCCCTTGCCAGCGCCTTATTCGGGGCAAGCCCTGTACTGCCCCACTTTTCCTTTGGGAGCAACGGCGACCTCAACCGGCATCTACTGTAGCCCGCACGGAAATGGAGGTTCACCAACGTGCAATGCTCTCGTGGCATGCAATGCTGGGGTTTTCGAAACAAGTTCTTGGTGATCTAGGTTACCCACTTAAGAAGTCCCCCCTTTGTCGAAATGAGGTGGACTTTGTTAGGAGACAAACAAAAGTCAAGTAATCGAATGGGGTTAGCCTTGTTAGGTGCAAACGACAAACTACCAAGCGGCGTTCACCACCTAACTTTGCGTTCCCCCAGATTGATTGGGGTTGTACCTTTGCTAGTTAGGGGAAACACACACACACACAAATCCTTACTTGGGGTTTTACCTTGCTAGTCAGGTGAACAAAAACACAGCATATTCCAAGTGGCGTTCAATCTGAGCTCGGCGCATCGGCGAATCGGGCATTTCCTTCGTGGCGACACAGTCGCCAGGGAAGCTTCACCAGCTGAAGCTCGTGCCCGTGGAGGAAGATGGCCTCATGGAAGAGGAGCGAGCGCCGGAGTCGGCCGTGGCTGAGGGACCTCTGGCAGGGCTCCTCAAAAGATACATTTTGCCCAGTTGAAACAGGGCTTTTTCCACCCAAACAAAGGGACACCACCTTTTACAAGTTGCAATGTTCAGGTGTACACTGTAAGGATCCCTGGGGTTTCCATTTTTTTGGTGCTTTGAAGGTCAAGCCACAACTTCGAGGTACTGAAATTAGGTTTGTTGTTATTTTGCCCTGGTGGTTTGAAAAGGAATCCAGTACTATTGGACACATGTTCCTTGTTGTTTCCAAGCAACGGAAAAGCAAATGTAGGTTAAGTGGTGGTTTGCTTTGATTTGCTTTGGATTTGGATTTGAAGCGGTCACACGGCTACTCGCCCTTTCGTGGTTCGGAACCTCTGGTTCCTCAGGATAAATGTGAAACCACTAGCCACCAAGCCGTCAACTAGTGGGAAGATGAGAAGAACACAACGGGCCTTTTCTTCGAGGAATGCTCCATGAATGGCTCACCCGTTAAAGGGGGAACTACCCCTGATGTGTTGTTGGTCCGGCAAAAGCTGACATTGCTCTGCATATTTTCCACTCGATTGACATGCAAGCCAACAGCCATCATGTCCATAGGTGTCCTTCACGGTTGTTTTGGCAGAAAACAGATGGCCCTAAACAACCTGGTTGTTTCAAATTCTAGGGGAAATTCCATCTACTTTAGCAGAAGGACACGCATGATCATGTCTAGTTCATTCAACATCCATTTGGGCAGCTCCCATTTTGTGGTTTTATTTTTTTCCATGTGACTTAGGGGAGTACGTTGGGGTTGGGTTTAGCTGCCCCTACGGGTAGCCAAATTCTATGTCCTTGCTTTCGCCGAATGTGCTGGGTGAATTTGCGTTTACATTTTGCCGGCTGGTGCGGAATTCTGGGGCAAGAATCAGGTAACCCTTAGTTGGTGGTTTGGTTTGGTGGTTTGGGGATTTCAACCCCTGGTTCTTGGGGGCTTCTGCTTGCTGCTGTTCAGCAGGGAATGACCCAGGGTGTTCTGAATGAACCTAGGGATTCCCTTAAAGGAAACCAAATTGGATGGTTTTTCTCGGGGTCATTCCCTGCCTATCGAACCAGCAAGAACACTCACCATCCACCAAAAAGCCGTTCTCTTTTTTGGAGTTGGTACCCCTCATTTTTGGTGGCTTAGGGCATTCCACAACTAGGTCTCCCAGTAGTGCACTTTTACCCTTTTCTGGGGGAGGGTTCCCCTACTAAAATAGACTACAGAAAAAATCGGGTACCAACTTATTCTATCCTCTCTGCTGGAGCACCTAGACAAGGAAAGCCATTCTTTTTTCTTTTTGGCTTCCCTTATAGACCCCCGAGACCAACGAAAAGCGGCAGGCCATGAAGCAGGCGGTGCCAGAAGAGGCGCTGCAAGCGATTCATTGCTCACCAGAGGCAGGGCTGAAGGGTCGTACCAGCGAAACGAGGGGCAACACGTGCCAAGACTCCCTTTTTTACTTGGGGCTACCTGATTTCTTAAGCCTTCTTAGGTTAAGCCTTCTTAGAAAACAGCCCTTTCCCCCCAGAATCCTTCAAGCTTGCTGAAGTTCGCGTCGAGTTTTCACACTCCAACGCCTTTAATGAAGTTTAAGATAGTTCTGTAGTGACAGTGGGTGATCATTGACCAAATTTCACTCCTGCCACCGAACCGCGGGTGATCATCGGCTTTGCAGAAACAAGTAGCATTTGTTCCATGCTCAAAGCGCTTCCGCGCGAAGGCGGTCCGGTTCTGCACATTTGCCTTTTGTTTTGGGGTACCAACCAACCCAACATGTTTTTTTCCCCTTTTCAATCCAACACAGGGTCCGCTCAGAAAAGACGCAGAGCCGTCTGCGACTTATCACCGACCACCCTGCCGCAGCTTGCTGCCCAGGGGGCGAAACACGTTTCTCGTTTGGACATGTACGGCATGTTTGAGCAGAGGCATTTGCCCGCGTTTTTCAATCAGCCCCCAGCCCTGGTCCTGCGGGTCGGCCTCTTGAGCCTTTTATGAAAACAAGCCAGACACAAGTATCACGGAACCCCGCGAACCGGGATGCTTTACAGGAAATTGGCCAAGTCACCAAACATGCGGATTTGTTCCGTAGGATATCGATCCTGTAGGCGTTTTTTGTTTTTTGTTTACGTATAATTGTTATGAGAATTGGTCCAAATCTCGACGGCTCCTTGACGGCGGGAGGTAGCGCCGGCAAGGCGACGACCGTTGCAACGGCCACATCCAGGGCGACGTACTCCGGTCGAAGGACCATTGGTCGCCCCAAAAGGTTGAGATTTGGTGTTTCCAGTTTCTTTGGGGGGTCGGTAAAAGGGTGACAGCTCCTCTTTTTGACCCCTCCGCATTTGTGGAAACCACCCCTGCGTACCCCTCTGCTCAGGAAGCCCAGCTGCCCAGTGGCGCCGTGCTTTTCCCCATGGAACTCCTTTCAACATCTGAGGAATGTTTGGGTTTCCAGGCCGAAATCTATCTCCAGGAATTGGCTTTGCTTTTGAAAAGGCATCCAGTGGGTGTTTTCAGTCGACCTGGTACCGACGTCCATTTCGCCGTCCCGCAGACGGCTCCCGCTGCGAGGCGGGCACCTTCTTCGTGGACGACGGCTTCAAGGTCTTCGTCCTTACCCAGGCGGACGCGAAGAAACGGACGCACGCCAGAGGTCACTGACGTTGCCGTAGGCCAATGTGAACTTGGTGGCTCCCAGCCATCCGGTTCCTTAGCTTTTTGGATCAATTTTGGTGTTTAGTGGTAGTTTCCAGTTAATCCACAAAAAGCGTGTCACTTTTAGCGGGGGATTTGAGGGCAGCCCAGTGAATGGGTGTGTCACGGAATGGACCTGCCTCTCACTGACTCACTGACCGCTTCTTTATGGCGGTTGAAATCGCGACGCGATCCGACGCCATCCGTGTGATGAATAGCAACCAAATTGGAAAAGTACTGCGGATGGCGTGGGTGCGAGGAATGCTGGGATGCTGGGGATGCAGCGCGCATTGTTTCTCAATTTTCCAAGAAAGGATGACAGCTACCCCCTTCAAATACCCAAAATATCCCAAAACATAGACTTCTAAAAGCACAAGAATGGCGATGTTTCGCTATACTTGCTGGCGCCAAGACCCCAATGCCATCGCTCAAAGCAGATAAACGCCGCGGAAACCAGCAAAAGCAACCGAAGAACGGTTTGCAGTGGGGTGAGTACAGCAAGGTTTGGACCTTTTCAGTGTCCTTGGACTTGTTTGGGGCCAATCCACATTCGATGGAACCCGGCTTTCGACTTGTAATATAGGCGCAGTTGTTCTTGTAGTTACTCCGTTTCTTCTTGTTTTGTTGGTCTTCTGTTTGGGTTTTTGTTTGATTTCAAATGACAAGCGCCCCTGAAAGTGTAGAACAATCTTTCAGGGTGTCCCTGAATCAGGAAAGGCCTCTTCAGGGTAAGCCCTGCGAAACGTTGTTTTTTCTAACTTGATGATGATCCTTTTGGGGCCGGTGTAAAGGGATTAGAGGGAGTCGAAAGGAAAAGACACCGTTTGGGGCGGCCTGGTCCTGGTTTAAGACACGCCCATGTCTACGGTCATGCTGGCTGCCACCATGAACTACCTGGCCCCAGCCTCTGAATATGACCAGCCTTTTGCCCCGGCTTGGTGATTCTGTTTGTTGGACAGCACGGGTTTCATACGGGTCCCATATGCAAATGAAAGCAAATCAACTCCCGCTCCGGTTAGTTGCACTCAGCAGCTATCTTGTCTCGCCCAACACAAGACACCCCTCAAAACTGCATGGGTATGTCTCGAAACTTGGAAAAAACAACAAATAAAATAAAAGAAGAGCATCCAGTTGATCAGAAGTGAGGTATTTACCGTCCCTTGCATGACGAAGATGGTACGCACCAATTGTGGTGCTGGGTTTAACTGACGAGGGAAGCTTAAAAAGCCGAAGCTGGAGCATAGAAGCCGGGAAGCCGGATCAGTCACCCGGAATATGATATCCAATTGTGCATGTTTTTTCCCGATAGATCTTGAACATGAATGTGAGGATTTGCGAAGGTCCACGAATTCTCGCTTTAGTTACACCAAGAGCTCGACTCCAGCAGCTTGCAAACTTCCTCTTTGCAAACTTGAGCGAAAACATGCAGGAACCCATCCCTTGACCGAACATGAGCCCATTTCCTGACCGAATATGGCCCAATTGTTCCTGCCCTCGGGTGCTTTTAGGCGGCTTAAGCTTGCTGCTCGGAGCGGCGTCTTTTTCCACACCGATACCCTGAAGATACCAGCGTTGTTGGTCGTTCACGCTCCCTTCGTCCTCAATCGCGCTTCTCTTCGCGCGGCTCCTCTTTGGAGCGAATGCCGTTTTCATCGCTTTACTCTCTGAACACGCTTGCGCTTTCGTGCGGGCTTAGGAATTGTTTGGTGACGAACAATCAATCAAGCAGTGGGAAGGTATGTTTGTTGCTTGGGGCGCAACTCCAGTTTCTGCATGACATATACATATATATATATATATATAAACGATTTCCCAAATAATCATAATCTCAACAGATACATACAGAAAGAGAACAGCAAGTATCAACCAATCAAGATGAGTGGTCAACAGCCAGCTCCTACTGGATTGTGATGGCCAAGTTGGACACATTTGTGGATGGTTGCTCGAACTCCATTTCGCACCACCCCCTGGTTTCTGATGATTCCCCCCCCGCAAATATCAACAACCGTTGTGGTTTCAACCAGCGCATGCCATGAAGTCTAATTGGGAACCCAATCCAATAAACCCCAACGATGTTCACCACCAGATGGCCTTGCAGGACACTGAACAACGGACAGCATTTGAGCAAGTGCCGAAGACCCTTATTGGCCAGATGAGTAACTTGTCCTATGGTAGACATTCTCCTTGTGCCTTTGTTCATTTCCAGAGGGTTCCCAGAACCCTCAAAAGCCTTTTGGGCAACCGAAACAGGCATGGAACTCTGGGAACTCTGGGAACCTTTTTTATTTCATTCATTTGCCTTTTTGCCGCTTGTGGGCAACCGAAACAGAAAATAAAATAAAACATTTCGGGGCCTTTTGCATTGGGAAGCTTTGCGTGTCGCGGAAAAATCGCGGCAATGCTGTGTGGCTGCGAAATCGAATCTCGCGCCTGCTTGAAACTATGGGAAAGCCATGATTTGTGTGTGTTTACACGGGAATCATCGTTGCAGGGTTTCTTGGGTGGTGCGAAATGGATTTCGTCCATCCGCAGTATCATTGTCCTTTCGGCAAGTCTTTGCCACTTGCCCTCACTCCACCAGCTTCTGGACTATATTTTGGACTCCATGCTCGGGAGGTGAGTTCAATGTGTTCCGCCCTACGCTTCTCCAACATGGATTTCGTCCGCCGGTTTTGCGCCTTCGACACGTTTTGGCGCCTTCAGACCGGCATCCACCACTTCGAGGTCAACTACACACAGTGGTGGGGCGCCATAGTCCCATTTGACTTGTTCCTGTGAGTTTCCTTCAGAGATGAGGCCCCACAATGGTTGATTTGCTTTTTGTTTCAAGAGTGTCCTAAGATGGGGAGCCTCAAACTTTTGCTTCCGGAGTTTCCAACGACTAGGAATCCGTTTTTAGTCTTGGGCACCGCCGAAATTGGTGGACGGTTTTCAGCCGGAACATGCAGAATGCGCCCTGGCGCATTCGTGGCCAGGCGCCACAAAAACTGGGGGTGGTTCAAACACCCCGCAAAAATTGTGCGGGTGGGTTTCCTATCGGCCCTTGAAGCCACTTCTTGGGCACCCCAAGGAAAGACAGGCCTCCATAGGTTGCTGCAGAACCAAAAGGAAGCATAGGACCTCAGTAACTTAGGCCCCGTGTTTGTGAAGCAACCCCATGGCCACATGGAGTGCCAAAAGGGTATGGATTTGAGGGTTCTCTTTGGGGCCCCCGAAGAGGGTGGCTTGAATGCACCGGACACTCTCCAGGTGAACCTTGTTCTCTGTTGGGTCGGTGAGTTCCTAATAAGCATAGGGGATAAGGGTGTTTCTAGTCTCTGTTTCAGTGCTTTGGTCAAGACTGGAACTTTGGTGTTTCTTGTGCAAAGGCCCGCGTTCCAGTTTCGGTTCCGGGATGGCGGACCTCAGCACTGGAAGAACCCCCCGAATTCGCGGAGATCTAAACCTCGCAACGAATCGAGCGATGGCTCAGGCGGCCCAAAGCAGAGCCCGCCATTACGGAGGCCCAGAGCGGAAAACCGCCGGGGACGGCCTGCTTCTCCTGGGTTTCGATTTGGCTTGGCTCACTTCAGTTGAAATCTGTGTGTGTGTGTGTCGTGCCTCTCCTTTTTTTCCCTCCCCCTTCTTGGGGGTGCTTTGCTCACTTCAGTGGG